TTACAATACGAGCTATGTCTGTTTGTTTGTCTGTCTGTATATACCTCGAAATCCAGCGTAAGGATTTTGACTAAATTATGGAATTAGGGACTTATAGCCCTAAAACCGTTATTGGTGACAGCCACTACGCTAAGAAAATTCGTATTTTGCTACACAGCTAATTTGAAAATTCAAAAATTTAATATTAACGTTATGAGTAATAATTAGTACTAGTTTGCGAAATTTTAAGCGAACATTTTCAACATCGTTAACAAAAACATAAAAATATAATTTGAAATATATAAACGGTATGATTTTTCCACCGTTTCCACAAAATTATATTCATAAAACTATTCTCATGTGCTTTTGAATACCGGGTTCAGAGCCTAGGTTGAGACAGCTACCGGTACGGATTTTTGATTGGTGTTTGGCGATCCATCATTGCCTTCTTTATCTCATAATTGGCACACTTTCAATCGAAAATTTATCACATTCATCACATATTACAAATAAACTAATAACTCTTATTTAGAATTTTTCAATTTTATAAAACTGCCCAACAGAATATTAAATAGTACCAATATTTATATTGCCCGTTGTTTCTTAAGTGAACTGTCGCCATTACGGCTAAGAAGCTCTGTTATAAAACCAGGTTAATTTGAATCCATTACAGAATGTGCTGTCATTATACATTCTAGAACTCAGATATTGGTAATTTGACCGAATTCGTTTGTACGTTAATTCCGGTCTTTGTGTTAGCCTCATTTTGGGCCTGAAATTCCAGCCCGTACATCGACATTTTTGCGAAACCTTAAGTAATTTGTACAGGGGGTAAAACTCCAACTTGGCTACACAAATAATTTTTCTTGAGGGGGGGGTTGAAATTCCAGCCCGTACATCGCCATTTCTCCTAAATCTTAGAAATATGTACAGGGGGTAAAACTTCCGGCAACCCGAAGAATCCACGCATAGTATAGACGGCGTGTTATTCGGTATATGCCTAGATTTGTACCAACGATCACGTAATGTGATCGTTGATTTGTACATAACTGTTAACATAAACATGCAGTAAACAGGTAAATTTTGTTTTTGCGTAAATCCTCAACATACAATTTTCATCTTTACTATTACGAATTATTTATTGATAACAAGCTTATATCAACTATGGGATGTTCAACTTTGATATTTTTATATTTATACCAGGCTTGTTTAATTCTTTGCTCTAAAATATATACCAACTATAAACCAACTAAAATATATAACAAACCAGTTATTTTCCAGGATTCCATGACCTAATGAGCAAAACTGATACAATACTTTCGATAAGATAGCTGTTTTTAATAAATTGTATAACCATGTTAAGAACTAATTATGACAACTTAAAAATATGTCAAATCTAGCTTTAAATGCATTAAAGGAACCATGTTATGATTTACATTGGCCGCAATTCTTAAGTCCACAATTGTATCCATATTGTCCGTCAGTTGTAAACATAATCACAGTTCAAAGTCTGTGATATATTTGATGTACAGTTGATAAGGGTGAAAAAGATTTTTCAATAGTCACCCAACAAAGTTGGCTTCCTTGCACTGTTTATTATAGTACAGAAAGCTGCTAATTGCTGCATTTACTTACTTTGTCACACGGTTTATACTTTGTCGTACTATTCATGATTTGGCGCACACCAGGATTCAAACCAAACAACACAACACAGCGTGGTTTTATTGTGCACGTAATCTGGGTACGCTTGGAAATAGGTTGGCAACACTTAAATATAATAAAACAATGATAACTGTACTAGAGTTATTGTACTATGATTGCCTGTACTAATAACTACAGTTTGTTGCTTGATTTATTATTGTTTCTTATATCTTAACTCTTATTCCATCCTATATCTAAGTGGGATAATGGAGGGATAAATATTTCAAAAAGTTCCCTCGCTACCTGCAGAACCCGCGTGGCAGTTCAACTGTTTTTCAACCCTGTGAAACTAACCCTTATAATCCGCTCTAATGATCGTGGCGGTTCAAGTATCTCTGGACGGTCATAACACTCGTGGCGGTTCAATATTCCCCACGATTTTACCTGTTGTTTTGTGTTAAAATTCTATTTTCGTTCAACGCTATGATTTAACTTAACCCAAAACGTGTTGTTTAGTGTTTGAAAGACTAATTATTTATATACTTTATGGTAACTGTAGGTAAAATATAATGTGTAACGCGAGCGCAAATTGCCTTTGCTGCACTCGAGACACTCCGCGCTGTCTATTTCTCTCATGTGCAGCAAAGTGCCACGTCACGCACTAGTTACACAAGTAACCAATCCCAAAAAGGAATAAAAAAACAAAATAGTGTAATATTTTTTTTTTTGTTAACAGGATGTACGGTAACAAAACCAGAGGTTTACTATTTCGAATCTCACAAATGTCAAATACAATCTTACGTCATAGTATACATCATTTTCAATATTTTAGTGGAATCGTATAATTAGAGAAATTTTATATGTTTCAAAATTGTAGCGGAAAATTGTACCTATTTTGATATATATTTTTGAAAATACAGATACCTCTACTATAATTAAAACTCGACATTCCTTGTGAGCTAATATATATTTTTAAATAAACAATAATTTAAAATAAAATAGTTTTATAAACGGCAAAAACTAAAAAGTTTTAACTTATATATTTATGACATATCATATTATTAAAACTTCAATTTAAATGCATTACAATTCCAAGAAATTTTCAAAAAAATAAACGTTATCCATTTATTTTAGCTTTAGAGTTATCAACTAGAAAGAAACTTGTTTTTTCCATATAACACGCATTTTAATAATTTGCAGTGCCATTGGAATTTCCTGTGAGATTGCGAAACGTAACGTTTGAAAATTAACATGCGTTTAATATGGGGGGAAATGTTTTCTGTAGTTGATATCTCGAAACCCAACAGTAAGTGCGATAATATTTAGCCTAAGTTTGAAAGTTTCTTAGAATTGCAATACTAAATCTACCTCGGACAACACGAGGGCTCGGAGCTCAGATAATCGAGAGTGTGCCGTAGAAAGGCAGGTAAAAATCAATATATCGTTCAATGAAAAAAGACGTTCCACCAGAATTGTTAAGAATAATAATTAATTATTATAAACCATAAGACATTAAGACGGTAAAGAATCACACCAAAGAGTGTTAACCTATTTAAGTTGTATCAATAAATCAAACAAACGTTTTATTCAAGTACAGTACATAATACATGGAGATCAACAACCCAAATAATCAATAATAATTATAAAACAAATATGGCAGGTTTTATTAAGAAAGAAATAAACTCACAACCTCATCGTAGAAAATCAACTTAAAGAGATTATAAACTTAATGTTGAGGTAACTAACTACCCAGATCATAAATATAAGTCATTATTTTATCAACTCCTAGAAAATAATGCTAGGATAAGAAAAATCTGTAACCAATTTAATACTACTTACTATACAACTCAAGTTTTACAATAAAATCCAGTTACATTTATTTGAGAAATAATAGCCTAAACAACCCATAATAATAAAAATAATGGTGTTTAAAAATGTTATTAAAATTGGCTCAATATTCCGTTTAAATCATTTTTAATATTTAATTATTATTTGAATAAACACATTGTCTTGTCTTATAAATTTATTTATGGTTATATCAAGGCAGATATTAAAATATGCTAATTTGGTTTGGTTTGTAAGCTACATATGCATGTACTTCAACATAACTGGATTGAACTGTTTGTTAAATTTCTTTTTACTGCTGGTTAATAAATATGTAAATTTAACTTATAGTTATTTGTGCAACTAGTGAGCAAAGGGAGCAATTGACTCACTCGAGAGAAATACTTACTCACGAGCCGTAGGCGAGTGAGAAATGGTTTCTCGAGTGAGGCAATTGCACTTTGCACTCGAGTTGCACATTATATTTTTCCTACAGTTACCATAAAACAAATAAATTGATAAAGAAACGTAGCATATTTTTATACAGAAGTGAACTTTTAATATGCCATTTAATGTGAAGTAACAAATACAACAGTACAACAGCTGACCACCTGATTTACCAACGTATTTCGCGCGCATACGACCTTGTCTGCATGTTACGCGCTCACTATTTCGTGCCTTCACGTTGCAAATCTGGAGTGAGACAAAGTAATTAAAGTGAGACAAAGTAATTAGAGTGAGACAATGTTAACATTGTCTCACTGATGAGAGAATTGGCCACTTTGCTTTCTCAAATCAGTGAGAGAACATGTACATTGTTAGGTAACTGTAGGGAAAAACAATTATTGATCATTTTAGGATTGTAAGTAGTTGGCTAAACTATATAATATCACTTTTAAAAAATCGTTTACACTACGAAACGTTTTCTAAACAATAATAAAGACCCTCAAATACCATTTAATAAATCCTAGGGAAACAAACACACATATTAAAATATACATTTTTGATTATGTTATGTAAATGATAAAAATATTACCATTTTTTTTAAGAATGGAAATATTTTAATAAATAATATAATCTCAGTACAGAGCATTTTTCCAATATTTATGACTGAAGAAAGAGGTGTTTTAATTTAATCATGGATAAAAACATAAAAAAGCCCCTACTCTTGTTAGTCTATGATAAAACTTGTTCACAGATTTAACATTGAAAGAGAAATTGCGGTATGGATATTTTTTTAATGCTCCAAATTCGTCCAATTAACTTGTATCTTTGACGATTTATAGAACTAGACATTCCATAGCCATGTTTAACCTGTCGCCATTTTTTATATATTTTATAATATTTATCAAAATATACGTAGTTAAAGTGAGTCGCCGTCAGAGCATCTTTTATGCCACTGCAATTATCTCAGTAACAAAAATTAGGTGGGAAATAGAATTTTAAACAGTGATACAATCTGTGGCTCAAAGAACTATGGTCTTTTTTAATAAAAAATTGACGCCAGGTGATCCATATGGATGGGATGTCTTACAGTATCAAAAAATCAATGCTAATAATAGTCAATGCTTTTATTTACATTAGTTGCACTTATTGTATCTGTTATGTACAGTACAAGATATCAACTAGAGTTTTGATCTCTGCGGGGTTTGTACCATCGGCTACGACTACGACCATGACCATGACCGCGACCACGACCACGACCACGTTCTTGGTTGGACATTGTATGTCTAACATTAGATTCATTCACATTGTCTTGATACACACCAGCATCTGCTAATCTCGATGAAGTCTGTGTTTGGGTCTGAAAGTCGCTAGCTTCACTGGGTTTTGACGAAGATGAAAATCTCGGCATGGGATTAAAACTTCTGCTGCTATCGCCTGTACGACTCTGAAAGTCTCTAGCATCACTGGGTTTGGATGAAGATGAAAACTTCGGCATGGGATTAAAACTTCTGCTGCTATCGCCTGTACGACTTTGATAGTCTCTAGCTTCACTGGGTTCGGACGAAGATGAAAACTTCGGCATGGGATTAAAACTTCTATTGCTATCACCTGTACGACTTTGGTAGTCTCTAGCTTCACTGGGTTCGGACGAAGATGAAAACTTCGGCATGGGATTAAAACTTCTATTGCTATCTCCTGTACGACTCTGAAAGTCTCTAGCTTCACCGTGTTGAGAGGAAAAGGAAAATTTGGGCTGGGGATTGAAACCTCTGCTGCTATCACCTGTACGAATGTAAGAGGGAGGTTCTATGTGAGGCTGATGTGGCTGCTGATGAGGGGTGAACTGTGGAAGTGGTGTAGTAGAAGAGTCAGAAGGGTGGTTATCTCTATGTCGCCAGTTGTGCATGTATCTACTATCTTCCTCTGGGCGCCTCTGTCTGTCATTGCCAGGAAAGTACCTTGATCTGCTATTCTGACTTTCAAATCCTCTATTTGAATCATCATTATAGTTATGTTTATTTTCAAATCTTCTTCTTTTCCATTCGTTACTAGTACTGTTTGTATCAAAACCTCGTCTTCTATAGTTGTTTGTATGGTGTGTATCTGTTCTTCTTTGGTTCCTACCTTGAGCTGAGTATGGCACAAAACGGAGATCAGATTCGTTCCCACCTTTGCAGCCATTTCTTAGATCATTCACGTACGTATCTCTCTCGATGCCATGTCCTCGAGCCTTTTGAAAATCTGTAAACACGGACAGTACTCACATTTATTTTTTAAAACAGAGTTGTTAATTGCTTGTTATTTATATTTATAGTTAATAAACAGAACGCTAATATAAACCCCCCTCAGGCCCTGGACACATGGTAAAGCTTAGAAACTTACTATAATCAATGATTTTAGCACGACGGAAACCCTTGTAAATTAAGGCAGTCACTTTTATCCAACAATATAATCTATTAATGATGGCTGATAATGTAAAAATTAAAAGCTTGTGTTTATTTATAAATTATGGAAAACAACTTATTTCCATAAGCTTTAAAGTTGAGTTCGAAATAACCTGTGCTGTAGGTACTTTCGGAAGGATGTTCAAAATAATCACACCAAAACAAATGGAGTTCAAATTTTCTTTTAAAAAGTCTACTCACGGAGTCCATATTTTTAGCTTACTTATACATAATTAATTTGATTTGTATAAAGTAATATTTGGGATCGAATTATAAGTGACCAAACATTAGTTATAAACAACAACATTGGTTAAAAAACATAAATATACATTAATTTATACATTGTACAAAATGAATTGCAATTTTCAAAAGTGTGCATACTACGAATATACAAAATCAATTTAATTTTATAATTTAATAAATTCAATTGTCTTTATAAAAAACACTAATGAATATATACAAAGATTGCTTTCAACACGGCAACAAAAATAGTACTCGCATTGGCTATTCTACAAACAGCGTTTCGGAAGTTCATAGACTTTGGTTAGCATTAGGCCTACAACATGTAATAGACGAGAATGAAACATAATCAGAACTGATAGTTGCTGAAAAGTTACATTGACTAATTTATTTCCTTTCAAATTTAGTATTTACATTAATTAGTAGAACTAAAATAAGTTTACCATAATGCTTCAAACATTCTTACTTTTAATAGCTTCTTCTGGTGACATGTTCAACCTCTCAATCATATACCTGTAAAAAATTAAGTATTTTGGTTCAATAACAAGTCATCATTTTGAAGTAGTTATTAAGGCTGCATCATAGTGTATACTGTGGTTAGTTAAAAAAGTTAAAAACTATCACAAAACAATTGTAACACAAACATTAAAATACAGTAAATTACCATGAACACCTTTATAACTGAATTGGTGAACTCACCGACAAATAAAATAACCTGTCCGGTTAACTCCATGGGTACAATGAACTACAATCACAGCATCTGGAAGAAAGAAAATTTAAAAATATCAAATACTAGCAGAGTACCCGTTCTTCGTTCGGGGTTGGTGTATAAGGATAAAATGCTTATTGCAGTTATACTCTAGCTTTGCGTTTGCAATGGGGGAGAGGATAAGGCATTTGGTTCTTTATATTTACAGTAAATTATCAAACATTCACACAATAACACAAATTATATATTAAATTAAAAACATAAACATTACTGTAAACAATCCTACGTTGACAGTTCTCATTGTGTATCACAGCTTCTTGATGCTGCTCAATTCAAATTAGCTGTTATCACAATTGCAAAAAGCATAATAGTGCTGCACTCACTATTTAAATCCTTTTAAATGTGAATACCCACCAGGTTAACATGGGAAACTCCAGAGCCACTGGGATGGGCCTAAAAGGAGTTTTGAGGTAAGAATATGCCTATATGTTAATTGGGAATGTGAGCTATCACCACCCCCAAATTTCAGCCCAATCTGACAAGTATTTTTTCGCGTTTCCCCGTCAAAAACATATATACATACATACATCCAAACTTTCTCATTTATAATATTTAGTAGGATGAGATGGATTGCTACTGCAAACAAAGTGTTAGTTTGATTTATTTTAACTAGGCATAAGATGACAGTTCTAAAGGTATAAAGGATGTAATGCCTTATACAGATTTACGATTATTAAATACGAGCTATGAACTTAACATCACAAGTCTAAAATATAAATATATCAATTTATTAAAATAAAAAATTGACAAATGTATTATTATTTAGAAAATTATAACACATTCATGACTTTTATATTAGTTTAATTTAAATAAAAAAATAACATATTAAAATTACTACCATTAAATGTAATTTTAAGAAAGTATGTCTCATTACCACGAAGATCCACTAAAACTGTCTGTGAGATGCATTGAAATACAACAGTTGTATTTTATCAATTTAATTTTCCTTACCAATGCCCAACAACCGGCTAGACGAGCACTATGACCACTCGACTACCCAGGAAGTAAAAAATTTAAAAATGTCACTTTAAGAAGTTTTAATTAATGTTTTAGTTAATGTTTTACTTTAATGCGGGCCAACAGTTAAAGTCGTCAGATTTCAGATCCATATGTTAGAATTTGTATACCGATCAGTCAGTCAGTGAGTTACACATGTGGCGGTATATTTGATTAGACTAATTTAAATGTATAATTTTTCCATAGTTCTACTAAAATTATAATACAGTTCAACAGTTATAATACCTAAAATGAATGTGAAAAGTTGCTCAATGTGATTTTGTAATAATGATACAGGTAATAAATTGTTAATAATCAATTGATCATTCAGAACATAAAGTCAGTTTACCTGGGTCTTCTTCTGAAGCGAGGTAGTCATCGACAACTTGATAAAACCTGAAACAATTTACCAGTACATTAAAAATTCGCATTGGGAAATAAAAGCTACCAGGAGCCCTGTCAAAAAAAAAAAAAAAAAAAAAAAAAAACATTGAAAACCAATGCAATCCTTTGCCACGTTTCTAATCTATGTAAAGATTAAATTTCATGAAATTCATAATTGAATATATAGAATTTCTTTATTACAGTAAAAAACTATACTTTCAGCGAAATAACAACGAAACAATTTTCTGGATTCTTTATCGAATTGTTAATAAAACTTATTGTTTTAATAAAATATCATTTTCCACTTAGATGCACGCCCGGTACACATAAATTTAACTCATTTAGTCGTTACTGAGAGACACAAAGAACATTGTTGGGTTTTTTATGGCCTAAGCCTACGAGGAAACAACAATTGTGAAACTTAAATGTCTAAAAAAATAAGCAATCTTAATTAGTTATTAGCTCTGTGAATAATTATGTCAAAAGAGACTGAATACTACGTTCAACACTTCTGACATCTTGATTTCCAATAGCAGTAAAGTCCAAGTAATATACTAAATTGTTTACATTTATAGCTGATTGGTTCAAGAGTTTGAATCTTTTTAAATTTTATTTGTCGGTGGAAGACGGACAACTAGTTTTTTTTTCATAGAAAGAAACAGATTAAAATTCAACAAATTAATTAATTGATTGATAAATATTAATTAATATATTATTAAAATAATAATTATATTAATTAATACACAATATATAATATTAATTAAATAGTTAATTAATACTCAATATATTGATTATATTGATATTCAAGGCAGCTTGACATTTTCTTTGTACAATTTATATATGGATTCAATAAGACTATTGACTAAATAAAAGATTCACTCAGCTGAAATGCCTGATTAGATGGAGCGACGCGACAGTGTCATATTTGGACAGTTTTTGTTCTGCCCCCCCCCCCCCTCCTCAGTTGTTGTGCAAGATCACCTGTTCATTGATACTTTTCACTGTTCAATTCAAACATTCATGTTTGGATCAATGTTTGTCTGCGCCGCCGACAGTCGTCAGTCATCGCTCTCTCTCGCTCTCTCTCCCCTCTACCCCTATCGTTCGCTCACATAATATATGTCTTACATTATTCATTCATGTTTATTGTTACAACCTATATTTATATTTCAACATCAACTTATTCCTGCTCTCATTTCTGGTATGGGAAACTTGTAAACAAGTCTAACAAACAGAAATAGTTTATTTATACAACTTAAACATTGTCATTTATGTAAGGGGTTGTCAACCGATAGACTACATTCAGATTGTAAATCAATTAAACGAACCAGCCTAATCAATCAAACTTATTTGAATAGCATAACAATAAGTCTGCAGAGGAAAGCCAAATTAAAATTGCACTGAAATATGCTTTCACAGTTTGGCCTATAAAACCGCCGTAATCATAAAGAACCTGAAATTAAACTCGGAGACGAGTTTGGGTGCGGGGTGCTGGTGCGAGCTATACCATAGACTAACCAACACCTATAGTACATAGACTGCAATTGAATATATATCGTTAGTGCCACAGAACTGAAAAAAACTTGACATTAAACTTGTACCTTGATAGTATTTTTCTAAATTTCTTATGAAGTTTTCATTAATTTTCGAAAAATGTCCAAAACATTGTGGAATCATATCTTAATATTTATTAGGTGTTTTCCAACCTAGTCCTGTATGTCAAATTTAAAATTTATTGTAAGGGGTGGCGAATCGATGTTTTTTAAAAGAATGATCCATGGTAATATAACTGGGGTAGTGGATTTTTATCCCCCTGGAATTTTACCCCCTGGGCAAATGTGACGTCACAAACCAGGGGGTAAAATTCCGGCCGCGAACTTTTGAGTTTCGCGACATCAGCTCGATGGATTAAACGCGGAATTGAACATATATTTTCACGGTTGTGAATTTAATCAGAACACATCAAATTATAAAAACCTAGAGTGTACGGCCCGGATTTTTACCCCTGGAATTTTACCCCCCGGATTTTTACCCCCGGAATTTTACCCCCGGAATTTTACCCCCCGGAATTTTACCCCCTGGCCAGATGTATAAATTAGTGAGAATGATTAATTATCTTCATTCTGTTTTAATTTAATAGTAAACATTTTATTATTAAGTAGCCTTAATTAATTTCTTTGTAACATTAACTAAACGAACAGGTTTTTAATTTTAATTTTGAGATTTTAGTATTAGGATTCGATCTTTGAAGCCAACAGTTGGTTAATATGACGTATAAACAATCAACTGAATGATAATTGTTTCGAACATTTCTTTACAAAATAAATACATAAAGATAGGCTACTAAATAATGAAATGTTTACAATTAATTAAAAACAGAAATGAGAAAATCAATCATTCCATTTTTAAAACCGTCTAGGGGGTAAAATTCCGGGGGGTAAAATTCCGGGGGTAAAAATCCGGGGGTAAAATTCCGGGGGGTAAAAATCCGGCCCGTACATCTTCAGTTGTCGAAACGCTAGTTATTTGGACAGGGGGTAAAATTCCAGTTTTTATCGCTAATCTAATTAATCACGCTCTGGCTATTTTCATTAGACTTCCAAATCCGCGGGGGTAAAATTCCGGCCGCGAACAAACTTTTGGCCACTCAGGTTACTACGTCATAGTGACGTCAGCTTTGCCCAGGGGGTAAAATTCCAGGGGGATAAAATTCCGGCGACCCCATTATGACTATGAATTGACATAAGCCGAAACCTGTGACCTCAACTAGGACGAGCCAGCGCTGGGACAGAAAACTTTTGTATGCATCATAGTTTAAAGTATGATTGACAATATGCTCAATGATTACTATATAGAAGCAGCGTTTTACTAAGAGTGATAAATAGCTTAAAACAACACTTATTTTAATTTGTTGCAATATCTTTCAATAATACTTCGTGTTAATGGCATTTTAAAACTCGTTTTTAGATATTGAGGAAAACGGATGCTGAATTTACTCAAAGGCACACAGGAGTAATCAACAAACAATATTTATTTGTCTTATTTGCCTAATTTCACTTGTGTGAATAACTAAAACATAAAACAAATCCTACATCCGTAATATTGAATCATAGAAGACATTTAACGTAATTATTTAGTTACAAAGCCAGATTTGGATTATGGACAATGGGTTGCAGCTACGCCACTACTGTCTGTGAGCGGATTACCTCAGCGTAGACAGATGAGAACACACACAATAGCGCGGTTTGTGGTACTATAAGTGTCTCTAGCAGGAGATATTAGCTGATACTGCATGCAGTTTACCACAGCAAATAAATAAAGTAAATCACATAATCCTTATCAGTTAACATGTACACAGTAATTCATGTTGAGGATGTTCTAAACAATACATCGAGGTAAAAATAGTTCACCATAGACTACATCACTAAAGATTGTATTAATTTCAATGGACGGGGTTTTAAAATATATATTATGACAAGTCAGACAACTAAAAGTCGCATTGACTCAAGTCAAAAGAAAATGCAATTTTTGTATGAATTAAACTAGTTCAAATACGGGTCACTCATCCTATCTATCTATACTTGTAAAAGACAAATACCATTCACTGACTCCCTGATCACTGGAATTGGCATGGAGGATCTAGGTGTGCAATAAGAATCATTTTCAAGAAATTCCATCAGGGCTCTACCCCAGTGGCCTCTAAAGCTCCCTTGTTAGCCTTATCGAGAAAAAGATTTGTTTACATTTTAACACATGAATACTTTTCAATCTGCACCAAATTACAGCTGGTTATATTTTTTTATAGGTGAAATTAAAATATTTACATTATTTATGTGACTTGAAAAACTGTTGTACTACATAGCATTTTTTTTAATAGTTAAAGAGTTAAATGAATGAACAATTTAAATGTTTTTTGTCATTAATCTATTTACTATGTTGTGGATTTTAAGATCTGTGTGTTCTTAATCATTTATTAACATTATATTATTTTTAATGTGTTCAGAATGTCAATGTCAAAAGACAAATTATTGGGTAATGAGTTTAACCTTTTATTTGAAAGTACTACAATAACAAATCCCAGACGTTACAAAAATGATCTCAAGAAAGCGGCGTTTCACAAGTCTGCTTCCTAATACTAACAAATTTTTAAACCCGACCAAAAAGTATTATGTTAGTTCCGTTCATGTTTTGTCACCCCCTCGTTATAAGCATGAATGCGATGGTTAGAGTTTGGTTTCATCGGATACAGTGGAAAGTTTTTAAAAATCTAATGTTTTAAATAAAGATACTTTAAAAACTGCGATTGGAAAGACGTAGGCCTACTTTTACAGCACGTAAGTCAGTTTTGTAACATCCTGAGATGAACAACAACTAGACAGCAGCGCCGCGCGGAGGAGGTTATTATGAATGTTTGATATCGTCACAATGAATACATGTTAATCGCCACCACTGACAATCGCTGCCAACTCAAATTTTGCGACAATCGGTACCAGTCTCTACCTGTGGCCGTGAGTCACCACCCTCACCGCTACGTGACGACATACCTTAACATACTCCCCTCCCTTCACTAACCAAACCACCCTATTGGGAATGACCACTGAAATAATACCTATAGTGCTATAATTCATTCTGTGTAAACGGTTCATAAACGGTTTTGTGTTTACGGTACTATAGTTCATACTACTGTTGTTCGAAACAGAGGTCGACGCTGATTTTTTAATTACATATTTAGCTTATGTAGTTTAGTTGTAATGTAACTTAAATTGTACGATAGGGGCTTCCTGCCACGCCGCACCATGCGGATTCTGCCTCCAATCTCAATTTTAATAAAGTTTAGATATTCAAATTTGGAGGTGTACAGAAAAGTTCCTAAACTACTTAGAAAAACACGGAGTACATTTAAATGTTCATCGTTTTATTCTTTGTATTCATCTAAAAATGAATATTGTTAGCTCTTTTATAAAAATCAATATGACAGTCAGAATATAAAGGAGCGTTGTTTTAAGAGTTTC